GGACCATATATGACAATGACGATCTCATTTTACAATGTCGTAACGGAGTGTACAATAAGATCCACTGTCTACAGCTATGACTAACATAGCAGTACATGGATCCTTTTTTTTTTGGTAAAAAGACCTTGAATAAAACATATTAGCAGTACATGGATCAAAACTCCAATTCCCAGCTCTCAGTACATATATATATACTCCCTCCGTCTCACAATATTTTTTAATATTTTTTAGACAGAGTAACGACGATGGCAAAATACATGTGTTCCCTCGTCTCATTTTCTTTCCTAGAGGATATCTTATAGATTTGGCAGTTACCTTTTGCATGTATCCCTGATTAACTTTCGTATTAGGAGGCATTGTCCCATGTTTATGTAGAGTGTTACTTTTTAGAAAAATTTTAATAAGTCTTAAAAAGTTATTATTTTGGGATGAAGGGAGTATTTAGTAGGAAAAAGTAAAGTGGTTCAATTATCTAATTTTAGTTTCAACTAGAAACTCAATTATTTACCTTAACATTCCTAACTCTACCTCTACGAATTATTGGAGATAGGAATATCCCGTTATACACGTCATACCCATTTAGTTGATGTGTGAGGCCCATTTAGTTGATGTGTGAGGCCATTTTCATTGGGGGTGTTTTGATACTTGTTTTTCGAAAGTGTCACATAATTTTTAGAGGTTTAGATTGATGAATGGAACAATCCTACGTGACACGTTATTGATTGAGATTGAAACTCTCACAAAAATTGAACTAAGAGTGACTTTATAGGGGAAAAACAAGCTAAGACAACTTGCTTATCCAAAGTGAGTGTCAAGTACCCGGTCCAAGGAAGTATTTGCTCCATTTGTCCTAGAATATAGCTAGTTTTAGAAGAAAAAAAAATTGTCCTTCGTTTATCTTGTCCCGCTACTTATACGGGTGGCAGCACTCTGCCAAATTAAACATGCATGCATGTCCCACAAATTAAACATACGTGCAGATGCGGATTGAGTAGCACTATAGCAGTGCCCCAACGTACGCGTAGTTTTGACGTTTCAACGTTCAAAGGCACCTAGGAAAGCTCAGGTTCTATCCGTATCCTCTAATAAACTTTTATAAAAGCCGCAATAATTAAAGAATCCAGCTAATAACTTCTATAAGATATGTGGAGAGTTGTTTTTAATAATTTTATATTACTAGATAGCGTGCCCGTGCATAGTGACGAAGCCAGAAAAAAATTTAGGAGGGGCTGAACAAAAGAATAGAGATTTTTTTATCTTCTCTTAACCTTAGCCCCTCCTACCTAATACATATATGCATAAAATTTCAAGGAAGGACTTAGAGGGGCTCCACGTGCCCAGGATCGGTAGGGGGGAGGGGGGGCTAGAGCCCCCCTAGCCCCACCGCTGCCTCCGTCACTGTCCGTGCGTTGCTACGAGACAACTAAACTTTTATAAAAAAAACATACGGATCGTACGATAAGATAACAATATTGTGAAATTAAATACCGATGTTAAAGTGACATTTAATCAAAAAAGTAAAGTTTGTGAAATTAACACAGTCACAGAGAGCGCGACGTCGCAGGCTCACTAACTCTACTGTATAGACCTTTCCGTGCGTTGCAACTGGAATAAATAATGCCCTAATTATTTTAAGCATGAACGTGTTGTATTGTCAAAAAATACGATAATGCAAACGTGATGTTTGGAATGTTAATACTATAAATTGAATTTTGTGCATGGCTAAAATTCTCATTGATGATTTGCATTCGTCAAGGTATGCATTTATAGGGCTGGTTTGGTCCATCCAGACCAGCCGGCTGATCCCCCTCAGCAAACACTATTCATCAACCAGCCGCTACAGTATTTCTCTCTCACAAAACCAGCCAGTTTCAGCCAAGTTTCAGACCAGCGAACGGGGCCATAGTATTGTGCATTTGTGCATACGCACGTAAAAGTTCATACCACCATAACAAGATTAAATGATTCCTCAATCTTTTACAACTAACCATCTCTTTGAATTATCAGTTTGCTTCATAGAGGACCGGTATACCAAGGTTGTCCTTCTTCGTATTTTAGATAGTTAGTATATTTGTCCGTGCTAACGCTACGGTTATATTAAGTCAAAAGTTAATTCTATCAAATTTGAAGTACTCCCTTAAAGATTCAATCAAAACATATTTCTATGGCTCCAAAAAATTGAAGTGATGCATGTTCAAAAAGCATAGATGTACTTTTGTCATAAAAGTTAGAACTCAATCTCGTTTTATAAAAAAATCATATAAAATGACAAAAATCACTGAATTTATTATTCTCGTATTTTTTTTAAAAAATTTTTGAGGTAATCCCAACTCTTGAAACAAAAGACACCTTTGGGATATGGATGCATCTCATATTTTTTTGAGCAATCGAAATACAACTTTTTTGGGTTCTCATGGTTTGCACCACATATTCCCTCCCCCACCTGCTTGTACAAAAGACATTGTCCATGTACATAAGATTGCAAAAGATCAATATGTATGTAAAGCAACCCAATGTACCAACAACAACAATTTTAACCATGACACTGGACCACTTGTATATGAAAGGTTCCGCTGGTAGACTCTTTAGTCGTCCTTGAACACAGAATCTAGATGTCACCTCTCAATCGCAGTTGTAAAACCAATGAACCAGACATGATCTCACAATGCCAACTACATCATAGTACAATTATCATCATCATATTTTATTGGCCCATGTTTCCAAGAATTCGCTCCACTGCAGCATGAACATTTCTAGCGGTAGCGGCCAAGGCTCGGATGTTCTCTCGTGTGTCAAGAAACCCGTTTCTTGGAGCTTCGCTAATTGTGTTGCATACAGTTCTTCTATGGCAGCACTGCAAATTTTGACATTACTTTGTTGATGAGAAGACTTCAAAAAATCACCCAGAGAAAAGCTTCAAGAGATCATACAGCAATTTGTCTGTCCAATATCCTCTCCTAAATCAATAAAATTGCATGGGTATAGTTAATAAAAGCCCAAGATATTTTTAATGTCATCGGTAACAAAGGCAAATAGATCAACAAATATGCACCGCAGTGAAAAAAGGAAACATTGAAATACATAAGTGTATTGTAGAGGAAGAAAGCAGCCCCACCTTGGTGAGGAAAGCATGGTTTGTTAATGCACAATAGAAAAATAATATCTCCGCCAACTTTGTATGGCTATGTATGCAGGATTGGAAAAAGGTTACCTCATTAGTAAGCTTCGGTTGAATAAGGTTCTTCGCATAATGAATATATTTCTTCAGAAATTTGGCAATTAGCCTGTCTTCCTTGGCTTTCTTGCCTCTTCTATCCTAACCATGGAGCAATACTCAACAAAAAATGGCTGCATTAGCATAAACGTCATCTTCTTCAGCATATCCCTCTTTATAAAGATACCTCTTGGTCCTACAGTTTATGAGGTTGTCTTTTATTAAGCAAATGAAAAGAATGGAAGAATTGAAAACAAATATATACGACTGTAAAACAGCAAAGCTACCTCCATCATCAGTGCAATATCTATGCATTCGTGCAGGGTGTTCTGAAATTTGCCGATCAATCTCAGGATCCATTTGATCAAGAATACTAATGGAACTATGCAAACTTATAGAATATGGTAGAGTAATAAACATCCATCTTAAGAAAATAGCATACACATTGCACAACATATTATCTGGAGCTGGATCGTTAGCAACGTATGCAAGCAGGTTTGGACAAGGTTCTAGCTTCTAACTTGTTTACTACACATGAAAACCAGCTATGCAAATGACAGGATTCCGGGTCAGTAAAGAAAGAAAGAAAAGAAATTGATGATATGCCTCGTTTCCTTTGCAGAGATAGTGATCCTTTTCAGGTGAGATTCAAGAAATTCCTCCTAAAAGTAATCAGCTAGTAGCGAAATTGCTTGAGAATAGAGATCCCCTACCACCCTCTGCACCAAGTTTTAGATGCCCATATCAACTGCAGGAGAAACACTGAAGATGACGACAAGAAGCAAATAATTTAATCCAACAAGCAGGGCTGGGGAGAATCGAACCTTTGAGCAACAACTCAAGGTCGTCGGACTGTTGGCAGGCGGACAGCAGCCTCTGTGCTACGCCGCTAACCTGCGCGTTGACGTCGCGGTGGTTGTTGACGTGTGCTCGCTCCTGTGTTGCGCCCGCTGCCTCCGAGTCCTCATCGACAAACCAAGTGCCGGATCCACTCCTCCCTTCGCAGCATCCGATCGTACTTCGCTGGATCCGGCTGCTCCTTCGCCTCCACCGGAGAGGGAGATCCCATCCTTGATGGCTGATGTGAGGCCGTCCATGGTGTGGAGGACAGGAGGTGGAGGTGGAGTAGGCCCCGAGCGGAGGGATCGCCCGCGCCCGCGTGGCCACGGCGGAGGAAGACGAAGAGGTGGATCGCGTCGCTCGTTTCGCGAGGTGAGGGAAGCTGGGGACCGCGCGGGGAAGGCATCGCACGTAGGCAGACTAAAACAAATGTCACTCTTTATTCTTTTTAGTCGTAGAAGATTATACACAACCATACTATTCTAAGATGAACTTTAAACGATGTAAAAGTAAAAGTAGCTATATCTGAAAGAGTATCTGGGCTTAACTAGCGCAGATACTTTTCCTTGAATAATCAACCCCTACAACTGTCACTCGTAACTTTTAATTGCTGTGCCCCTCTGTCTTTCCCTCTTCTGGTAATAAAAAATGAAATAAAAAATTCTCAAAATAAGTTGATGAACAGAACAGCTAGTAATAACTGGCAACCTTTCCACCTTTGGCAACCGTCCAACACGAGTCTCCTCTCTTCCGTTCCTTCCCTCTTGAAATTCTCCGCTCACGCCAATCGAGGCACGGAAATGGCTGAGAGCCCGAGTTGAGCACCAGCCAAGCGAGAAATCCACTCCGAGAAGCTTCTGGATCTTCGGAACGGAGGCGGGGAGGGGAGGGAAGCACGCCTGGGTTCTCCGCCTGTGGCTGCGGGTAGGGTTTCTCTCTCGGCCCGATGGCGTCCGCCGCCAAGTTGTCGAGGTCGCGGCCCGCTGGCCACTCCGGAGTGTTCCGGGTGAACGCGGCGGCCGGCGTGGGAAGCAGCGACGGCGGGGTGCAGCTCGCGGACAAGCTCAAGATATTCAAGACCGACAACTTCGACCCCGACGCCTACGTGCAGTCCAAGTGCCGCGCCATGGACGAGAAGGTGAGGAACTCGTCCGCCCCCGGAAGTTTGCCTCCAGCGGTGGCGGAAGGGTCGCGTCTTCTTTCGCTCGAAAGTGCGAAGGGCACGGGGTTCAGGGGTTCTCGATGCGTTTGGAGTAGTTTACTGCGAATTTGGAGTGATTACGATTGAATCGGTATCTGGAGAGCCGAACTGACCGATAGACCTATCGGCCTCTGGAGAGCCGAGAAGTCTCTGACGCGCAGCAAGGGGTGTCGGCTATCCGCTGACCGATAGGCCGACAAGTCACCAAAAGGATTATCGGCAGTATGTCGGCTGTCCGCTGCCCGATAGGCCTACCCGCACGCAATGCAGGCTGCAGCTGCAGCACCTGGATGCATGCATCCATTGCTCTCGTGTACTCCGTACTACACGTTGTCATCTACAGGACACTGGAGTGTGTACTGGTAGTGGTAAATTGCCTTGGCCTTTATTTCTTCAGTGAAGAAGAGCAGAGCAGAGGTTTTAACAGCGGCACACTGAAGCTCAAACCACTAGTCGTTGACTGTCGTTTAGCTTCATCCATCTCGCCCTTTAATTCCATTTATTTATTTACTTACTGTGTACTAGGATTTGTACAGTGGGCTACCTAGGTACACCTCCGCGTTACCTGCCGGGCCTACACACAAAGAATCTAGTTAAACACATCTCTATCACGTACTACAAGGTACGTGTTATTAGTTTTATAGTAACTCAAACATTTCTAATTTTGATTGTCAATTTCAAAAAAAAAGCATACTAATTATGACAAATGCTTTCATAATATATTTAATTTATTTGTCGTGAAATGACATCATTTTTTAAAGGTTGATAGTTAAAGATACAAGTATTTGATTTATGACAAATCTACTATGAAATGTAAAAAAGAACTGAGAGGATACATGTAAAAAATACACACCTCCGCTTGGGAATGTACACGGCTTTCCGATTGGGATATCTGCAGTGACAACAAGCAAAACCAACATTCGAGAAAGGTATGGTCTCGACATTTCGACCCGATCTGGATTTCTATGAATATTAATAATACCATTTCCATCAGTACTGTATACATAAATATGTTTGTGCGGCACAAAACTTTGTTCCAAATTGTTGATAGCTATACGCCTATACGACTATACGTATTCCAAGAAATCATTATATATTCTTGTACTTACTAGATATAACTTTTCCTATATGTTTATATTCACTATTTGCATGGGGTATGTTTAGACCTTGTTTAGTAGGGCTCGTTCGGAGGAGTGGGAGCTATTTTGGAGGAGCCTTCCTCTAAAACGGCTCCAACTACTCTTTTTTTTACTGAAAACCGGCTCCAAATGACTCTTTGTCCTAAATCGTTTGATAGGGCTCCTCTGCAGGATTGAGTTGGAGCTAGAGCCAGAAAAGAGCCCTACTAAATGGAGCCTTAGTTCTCCCCTGAAATCGTCCAATTTTCAGTTCACAACGTAAACGAAAGAAAACACCCCAATAATTTTGATGTACATGTTGTTTATGCCTATCTCAATTATACTACTAACTAATTCAAAGTGTCGCGGGTTCCAAAGTTTTGGGCCAATCACTGCAGGCCCCAAAGTTCGCGGGAGGTGCTCTCTCTTCCTCTCCTTAGAATGTCCAGAACTGAGTGAAAAGGCAATCTATAAACCACACATCTCCTATATCATAGGTTCTTGATTTTTGTTGTTTTTTAGGCAATATGCAATTTTGTTATTGTTTGGCTATAGAAAAAAAAAACTATGAATTGTCGCTTGTGAGATGTCATTTTAATTATAGTTCCAAAGTTTTGGGCCAATCATTGCAGGCCCCAAAGCTCATGGGAGGTGCTCTCTCTCTCTTACAGACTAGTTACAGTAGCACTTTTTTTTTGTTTTAGCTATAGCTAAAATGGACACACAGAGCAAATGTTTTAGTTAAAACGGCATGGCTAGCGTCCGGACGTCTGAACGGACACGTAAGACCGGACGCCCCCGTAGCCTGGCCCTATCTACCTTTGCCCTGCCCCTGTCCGCCTTCACCCTGCCCCACGCGCGCACTCCACCCTATTTCTGCGCCCGCTGGTCCTTCCTTGACCCCTTCCTCTCTCTCTCTCTCTCTCTCTCTCTCTCTCTCTCTCTCTCTCTCTCTCTCTCTCTCCGCGTGGGCGGCACTCGGGAGCCGGGATGAGCGGCTGAGGACGAGCACGAGCATGCCCCCAGTGCGCCCTGACCGCACCTCCATCCGCCAGCCCCCGGTTCAGCCCCGACCGAACAACATAAAACACTTGCAACATGAAAAACATTTGAATGCAACATACGTTTGAAAACAAAAGAAACATTTAGAACATGCGCTTGCAACATGTGTGTGAAACACATGAAACATTCAAATAAAACACTTGCAACTTACAACATGAAACCACTTGTTACAACATAAGACTGAAACAACTGACACATTTGGAACATACTGTTGCAACATATTTGTGAAACATGTGCAACATCTAGATAAAAACGATTGCAACATACATCTGGAAACAGATGAAACATTTTGAACAAACGCTTGCAACATGCCTCTAAAACACTTGCAACATGTGCAACATCCCCGATCTAGTTTGGCAACATCAAGATAAAACAATTGCAACATACATCTGAAACGTCTGAAACACTTGAAACATACATATGCAATATATGGGAGGGGAAGGGCAGGGCCTGTCGATTCCGGCCGTCGGGGTGGGAGCCGGTAGCTAGCCGCGGCGCGCGAGCACCACCAGCACCTGCCGTGCTCGTGGGTGCCCTTGGCTCGGCCGGGGAAAACCTAAGGCGCCATGGCACGTGAGCCACAGCGGACGTGGCGGGGTCAGCGGCGCGCGCGACGGCGATGGGGGACGGACGACACTACTACAGATAACTTTTTGTAGGTGGTCGAAACAGTTAACCGAGGCGAGCATTCCACCCGCCTCCAATTAAAGGCCTCGGTTAATCAAAGAACTAGCGAGGCGGTTGGAATGCCCGCCTCGGTTAATTAATTAAAAAAATAAAAAAAATCCAGCGAGCCCATCGACAAGCCCGCCGAGCCCATCGCGCGTGCGCCGCCGTAGCTTGCCGAAATCCCACATCTGCCGTCGCCGCTCGCCGGATCCGCTGCACCGGTGCCGAATCCGTCGCTCCTAAGCCCATATCCACACGCCGCCGCCGCTGTTCACCAGATCCGCCGAAGAAGGGAGGGAGGGAGGGCACGGGGAGCGGATCCGCCCCGGAGGAGGAGATCCACATCCGGACGGGTATCATAGTTAAAATGTGTAAATATGACACATAGGTGATAGGTGCTAACATGTACTTCAGCCATATTTTAGCATCTATGGTTAGTGGCCTGAGAAACACTTCAGATGCATTTTAGCGGCACTTTTTGGTCCGATTTGCACTCAAAAACTTAGACCAGCGTTTGTTTTATTTTCTGCTTCTAATAAAATCGTGGCAAAACTTTTGCCGTCCTTTTGGAATAAAAAACATTTTAACGGCAATGCTGTAGTAGCCAACAGGTGAGAAATGTGACCCATAGAGCATGGTCTAGCATGCTAATTGATGCAAAAGCATTCTACACAATCCACACAAAAAGGCGACGCTGTGGTGCTGATGCTCAAATAACCAGAACACTGAATCTCTGTCTTGGTTCTAATATGCCATTAAAGACTCTTCCTTATAACTAGAATCGCTGGCTTGAGTGGGTTGGGGCATATCATGCGACGTGAAAGTACTGTTATACTTTGGAATTAAATTTGGAAGTAGTTCCTATTTTATAACTGTTAGATTTATCCGAATGGATGACTCTTATTTGTTTTTTCAAGCGCCTCCCCGTAAAATTTGTCTAAGAAAAACATGGGATCAATATGTGGTCAGTACATTTTGCTGTTATATATACGCGTGCAGCAGTTGCATGCATCGACAACGAACTGCGCATTTGCTTGCGCTGCTCAGGCCCCACAGCATGCAGGAGATTAATGCAAATATGGCGTGTGCCTGCTACCATGATCTATCCACGCTGCAGCTTGCTTTTAAGTTTTAATCATTTTGCTGTAATAAAGCTGATTGATCCATGCAGATCAAGGTCTCGTCCATTAATTATATCGATCTATCGATCTTCATTGCACCCTGCTGCATGCATGTGTGTGTATACTCCCTCCATACTGAAAAACCTGACGTTTAGGACATGATTGTGGTATCCAAGGAGTGATTAATTAGGGGTTATCTTTCCACCCTTGCCCCTATTAAATAGTAAGATGGGTATGTTCTATACAAGAATCTTGCTTATCTCGAGTGGCTAGCCCTCGGCGGGCTGAAGCTGTGGTCCACGTTTCAAATCCCACCGCTGGCGCCTTTTTTTGTTCGTGGCCATTTTGCATGGCTTGCATGGCACTGTGCGGAGGTCGGGTGCCTCCGTTCGACCGTCTTGGCCAAGATTTTGCCCGCAGCGCGCTATCGGCGTAGTATGGCATGGCGTCGTTTGCGTTGCATGGCGCGTTTTGGCTGTGCACGCCGCATTTCGCAGCTCGAGTTTTCGTTGCATGGCGCGTTTTTGAATCATTTTTTCACCATGAAAGGCCTATTGTCGTGTGGTCTGGCCGATGGTCCATCTCCTTTCCTATTTAACTGGTGCTCACCTTTCCATCTGAACCTGTTCATCTTTCCACTCTTTGCCATGGTCCACTCTTTCCTTGTCCACTCCTCTACTACAATGGCTAATCCATTTGATTTGAACGTTCGTTTGGAAGAAGACGACGACGTCGATCTCAACGACCCAATATTGGAGGACGACACCACAAATGGTAAGGTACTACTCAGTTTGTTTGGTTTTTTTGTTTAATATTCAAAGCAAGAGGAAGGCAGTGCGTGGCAGTAGTAGTACTCGGTTGATCGATTCAACGGTCAACGAAACAAACGATGCAGCGATGATTAGTGCTCTGGGCGGCGCGCGCGATAAACGAAAGCAATTAAGGAAGGCCAGCCGAACAGACCGCAGGGGCAAACAAGTCCACGGACGGAAACTACGTATACGCCCAGGACGTCCAGTTTTTCAGTATGGAGGGAGTACATAATAATTACGAGCTCATAGCTCGCTAGTACACAGAAGTAAACCTGACTGATCATTGCTATTTGCCACGCGCACAT